TTTATTTTTTGATCAGCGAAACTTGGGTAGGACCCTGACCTCAGAGGCATAAAGAACAAAGCAAGTGCTTTAGAGGGGCCTCACCTCCTAGTTAGTTCAAGGATTAGCTCAGGTTCCTTCCAAGAAGCCAGGGCAGCCCTACCGCATGGCACTTGCTAGCACGACAGGGGGGAGGGGGAGGGCACTGCAGAGAACAGTGGAGCTTTTAGGAATACTGAGTCACTCGACCATGTCAGTGTCTATAAATTCACTTCATTCTCCTCCTCAGCACCCTTTCCAACTGGCCACCCCCCAACCACAGGCATTCCTTAAGCCTTAAGGCATCCGTCTAGATGGTGTTTTTCCTAATGCAAGAATAGACTTTTTTCCCAAATCATAGCTTTTAGAAATCGTCTTGAGGAGCACAGATCAGGCATCGACATATATTATATGTTTGACATTTTATTCCTTGCATTTTTCTTATTTTATAATTTTAAGACAGTGCTCTTCCTTTCGGCTGGGGGTGGAAGGCAGGAGAGAGAAGGGTAAGTCTTTAGGTGAAGGAGAACATTCCTAAAAGAGCCTGCTCTTCTTAGCTCTAGGCACAGGTGGCCAACCTTAAGCTAGAAAGTTAGGGAAGGGACAAAGTCCCTTTAAAAATTACATTTCGCTAGCCGAAACTGGTTTGGCTCAGTGGATAGAGCATTGGCCTTCGAACTGATAGGTCCCAGGTTCCATTCCAGTCAAGGGCATGTACCTTGGTTGCAGGCACATCCCCGGTAGGGGGTGTGCAGGAGGCAGCTAATCGATGTTTCTCTAACTGATGTTTCTAACTCTCTATCCCTCTCTCTTTCTCTCTGTAAAAAATCAATAAAAAATATATTAAAATTTTAAAAAAAAGAAAGTTAGGGGAGGGACAAAGTCTCTTTAAAAATTACATTTCTTTAAAGCAGTGTTTTAAAATTTGTCATTAGAATTAGTCTTAGAAAATCAATTGGCAATTTTTATAACATTGACTTCTACTTGAAAGAAATGTAAAGATGGTTTAGATTAAAAAAGAAAGAGAGAAAAGAAAATCCATTGGCAAGAGTTTTCCAAATGTTCCCAAAGCTCAGCAAGGCCGTGGCTTCCATTCCAATGAGACAGGCACTTAGATTAGGGTGACTATGGGATGAGGTCAGTGGGAAAACTGGCCAGAAAGACAGCGCTGACCCCCAAAGGGCAAGAAAAACAAGCGAAGGCCGCTGGTCACACACCACCAAGAAGCTCCTCCAAATACTGGTTTGCTCACGTTTGGAAGATTCTTCTGTGCTGACTTGTAAAACAGTTTCTGGATAAATAATGTGTAACAGCTGGTCATCCAGCTCACACGCACTCCCAGAGGGCCCACCGCCGAGACCGGCGATAAATAATAGATCCCCATGTGCTGCCCGGCACAGTGTCTCCCTGCTGCCACTCGGCAGTCACAGGGGACGCCACCCTGCCTGGCGTGTGGTGACAGCCACAGACCTGCTGGGATGGGCGCCCCGTATTCCCGAGATAGAGTTCGCCGATAGGATTACGGAAACGTCGCCAAAGGCAGTCCCTGCACAGGGAGTCCGTATCACGTTACCCTTGGAAATATTTTAATCTAGAAACACCATCCACTGGATACAAAACCCACCGACACCTGGCCGCTGGGTGTGGCCTCACGCACACAATCCTGAGACGTCTCCTATTTGCTTTCATGGGTAAATGGGAATCCTGAGCTAGGAATAGAGGGGGAGAATTTGAAAATGAAAGCAGAGTCACACCAAGTATTGCTGAATGCTCTTTCAAGATAAAGGATGCGCCGGTCGCATCAGCAGTCCCCTCTGTGTCTCCAAAGCCGGGTCCTTGCAGGTGAGGGAAGGCAGGGGCAGACCCACGGGCTCTGCAGCTGAGTGTCTGTGCTCTTTTCCACCGCCGACCACCTCCCTCCCTGAGAGGAGGACCGTGGTTTGGAGTTGGGGGACTGCTCCTCTGTGTTGCAAGGCCCTGGGACGGGTTCCTTGGGGGTGAGCAGAGCCCCTAGGAGGTGAGTTTCTGCCATTGGTCTGCCCATCTGTGTTAACTGGGGGTGCCTGATGTCAGGCTGATTTGGGTTGTTGGCGCCTTGCCTCCAAAGTCAGCTCCCACTTTCCCTGTAGTCAGCGGGCTGGCGTTACATAGAAGAAGGGGGATCGGGACTAAGAGTGGTAGGTGGCTGGCACTTCGCTGGAGGGAGGCAGGGCAGGGCGGATGGGTACAATGCCTGCTTTCTCCTCTGTCTCTGGGTCCTATGCAGCCTGTCCGGAAGCTGGCAGCACACAGAGCAGAGGATATTGGGGAGGAGAGGAAGGCATTGTCACACGGCCCCACAGTTTACCTCTGAAGATGGAAACAGGTGGCCAATATAAAACACTTGTATTGATTGGGCTTAGTGACTAGAACAGACATCACCTGCCTTCCAGAGACAATGATTCACTGACCGTCTTTGGCCTCTGAGCACTGAGGATTTTTGGAATTCCCATCTATGGACATTCTCAACCGATTCCATCCGATTCCCAGTCATCCCAGCCATGGTCATCTTCTCTTACCCTGGCAGATGGGTCAGCACTTGGGCACCAAATCCAGACTTCATAATAAAGTGAGCCACGCACGCAGAGCACAGCGGGCAGCATGGTGAGCACCTGCGTTCATTCCTGGCTGGGCCGGTGGGGGAGCCGGCCTGTGTGCTCAGTGGTCGCGCTCACAGGGGTCTGTGAGCTACTGCTGAGCACACAATGGCCGTCTGGCTGCCTAAGCAGTCCCGACCCAGGTGTGTTCACCTGACTCAGTAAGTAAATTGGCTTCTGTTGGGTTCTGACCGGAACCTCTGACTGAACGTTGGGAGTCCAAGACGGAGCCTGGGAGCTTCGTGGGAAGATGTTCCAGTTCTTTCCAGCTACCTGTAAGGGGCCATTACAAGGCTATGAATGTAGGCTGTCCTTTACCAGGAAAAAACCTTTTGATATTTTATATGTGAACTAAAAGAAAATAACAACAATAATAATAATAACAGAAGCTGTTTTCCTGTATGCAACGGGAGAGTACCTTCGTGGTCTCTTTTTCTTAAGAATTCTAACAAAAGTTAAATGCCATCAGTTTCAAAGGAATGATATTTTAGGAACTAGGATCTGGTTAGAAGGGCTTGGAGCTCTGCCATTAGCACCCCAAGATACAAAGACGCATGAGGATGTGCTTGGGGCTGTAGCTTGCTTGTGTAATGAAAAGTCCTGAAAAACTAGGATTTGTTTTTCGCTCTTTTCTGTAGGCATTTAAAATACTCTTTTCCCCCTCAAAACAGACAATTTTTAAAAATTCAAATATACTGGACATGTAACTTTGTATAATTTTAAGATGAATACATTTATATTTATATATTGCAATATGATTGCCACCCTAGTCATAATTAGCACTTCTATCAAGTTACATAATTATTCCTTTTTGGTGAGCGGAATAATTAAGTTCTAGTCTCTTAAAAAGCTTGAATATAATGTTGCTGTTGTATTCATTACTCTGTGCATTAGATCCCTAGGGCTTATGTCGTTAAACTGGTAACTACTTGTTGTAAGTTTGTGCCCTTAAACCTCATCTGCTCTCCCCCCGCATCCCCAACCCCTGGTACCCACCATTTACTCTGTTTTTACTATTATTAGTTTGGCTTTTTTAGATTCCTCACAAAGGTGACATCAGACAGCCCTTGTCTTTCTCTGTCTTATTTCACGTAGCTTAATGTGCTCCAAGTCTCTCCATGTAGTTGCAAATGCCAGGATGTCCTTTCTCCTGTCTTAATAATATTTCATTGTAACATGCCACATCTTTTTTATCCATTCATCCGTCGATGGGCACTTAGGTTTCTTCCATCTCTTGGCTACTGTGAGTAATGTGAATAAACATGGGGTGCAGATATCGTGTGAGATCCTAATTTCCTTTCTTTTGGGAACACACCCCAAAGTGGAATTGCTGGGTGACATGGTAGACACATTTTTAATTCTGTCAGGACCCTCCTTACTGTTTTCCACAGCGGCTGAACCAACTTCCATTCCCACCAACAGGGCACAAAGGTCTCCTCCACATTCACCAGCACTTGTTACCTCTTCTCCATGACATCCATCCCACAGGTGTGAGGCGATATCTCAACATGGTTTTGATTTGATTTCCCTGGTGGTTAGTGATGTCCAGCATCTTTGAATGTACCTGTTGGCCATTTGGATGTCTTAGATAATGAATTCAAATTAGTTAGTGATAGTTTTCACCATCAAACAATATATTCATTTACAAGTAGATTTTAAAAATAGTTCCAAGGCTCTTACAGAGACCGTGACTCTTGCATGCCACTTCTTCCTTTGTCCTTTAACTGCCACCTTCTGCATTGGGCATCCTTTCAAAACCAGGACAGAGAGGTGGGAGGTCTTATGTTAGCCGAGCAAACACGTTTAATGTTATACAGCTGAGAGGCCCCGTCAGTGATGTGTGGACTAAGACAGATTGGTAAATAGGTGGTCATTAGCCAGATTTTTAAAAAAATATATTTTATTGATTTTTTACAGAGAGGAAGGGAAAGAGATAGAGAGCTAGGAACGTCGATGAGAGAGTCATCGACCAGTCACCTCTTGCACACCCGGGATGGGCCCGCAACCGATGTACATGCCCTTGATCGGAATCGAACCTGGGACCCGTCAGTCCGCAGGCCGATGCTCTACCACTGAGCCACACCGGTTTTGGCCATTAGCCAGATTTAATGAATAAAATGTTTACCACCACTACCACCACCTCTTTTCTCTTGTGTATAGACCACTGATTATATTTATGCAGCATTAGGATGGCTTAGCACCTGCTGAGCTTTCTGCCTTCACCATTATCACTGAGTTGCTCTAAGTGTCTGTCCTGCATACAGCTCAGACCCTGGGACAGCCCACTTCCACACATTATTCTAATATATTTAACAACCAGGCTCTTCTCCCTTTGCACCGAACAGGACAGACAATGAAGATGGTCACTGAAAACCAGGAGCGCTGCTGGCATAACTGAGAACATCAAGAACGAGCACAAGGACAAAGGCCGGCTGCCCATGGACAAGGCTGGTTTCTCAGGGCGGAAGGCTTCGAGGCAGCGGGAGGACTTCCCTGTCGATGGGGCTTTCTCCCAAACTAAGCTGCACGCCCATCACTATTTCTCCTCGGAAAACAACATCCTGGGTGTCTCGGGTCAAGCGATTCTGACAGCAGAGGACCCTCCAGAGAGGACCACACATGGAGGGTCGTGCAGAAAGGCAGGCGCGGTCTGGACTCTGGGTAAAATGACTGAACGCGCTGCCAAGGAAAACTCTGACGAGGAGCAATGCTGCCCCCATACTCTTCACGTCCCAGCGAAGAAGGGGGACCGCTCAAAGTCAGCCCTTTCTGATATTGTACAGCGTCATCTTTCCAAAGAGGAGCTTTTAAAAAGCCAAGGCAGTCCTTGGGAAACTCCCCCAGAGGTCTCCAAATCGGACAGTTTTGACGAAGCCATTGTTAAAAGTATCATCTTGCATTATGTTAACAGTTTTTGGCCAAAAGAACCGACCCCAGAATTCACTGACGAGCTCGACTCCCAGAAGGAGGATGACACGGGCAGTGAGCCCAGCTGTTGCCCGACCCCGACAGCAGGAAAGGCCGCTGAGAGAGAAGAGCCAGTGAGTGCTGGAGACGGCAGCCTTGCACAAAATTCCACTTTTCTAACTAAATCCAAGGGTCCAAGCAATAAACAGAAAGGCTGCCAAGAGCAGAAACTGCAGACGGAAAACACAAGATCAGGCCCTGGGTTCAAATATGGCCAAGTCTGTTACCGGTTGTCTGATCACTATAGTGTTGCTCCCCAAGTGAAAATCCCTAAAAATAATACGATCGATAAACCACTTACAACTGACAGACAAGCCAGCTTTTCTCCTGAACTGAGAGCTGGATTAGCTCTTGGGCAAGAAATTCCAGAAGGTACAGCTAGGCCAGACCGTGCTGAGAAGGAAGAGCAGGAAAGGAAGACTGGGGACCCCTCACAGCAGACAGAGGTAGGAGAAGCCGCTCCTCTGAGCCAGAGCAAGTCTCTGGAAGGTGACTGACACCTGTTCCAGTTCTGAGCAAGTTCTGGGACCTCTCAGCAGCCCAGTGAAAGCCTCATGACAAGAATCAGGAGCTGGAATAACAATAACACATCATAGAATCAAATCCAAGTTCTCCCACTTGGAATTGAGTTCCCCCATCTTTTTAAAAAAAAATATGTTTTCATTGATTTCAGAGAAGGGAGAGGGAGAGAGAGAGAAACATCAATGATGAGAGAGGATCTTTGATTGGCTGCCTCCTGCACACCCCTGTCTGGGGATCGAGCCTGCAACCCAGGCATGTGCCCTGACCTGGAATTGAACCATGACCTCTTGGTTCATAGGTCAACATTCAACCACTGAGCCACACTGGCTGGGCTTCTCTAATCCTTTCAGGTTGGAGAACTGGACTCTATAGGTTCCATACCCATCGTGTAGTGGAGAAATCCCTAACACTCAGTCTGGAGTGACCACACCGTTTAGCTCCTGCACTGGCCTGTTTCTGAGCTCCCTGTGCTGTGAGCCATGGGAAGCCCCTTAAGGCGAATCACGCTGGAATGTAAACTCCTGTCCAGCCTTAGTGAGAGCAACAGACCTGGTGAGAAGGCCTCATGGGGCTTGTGGTCTAGTCTTAGGAGAAATGTTTGCGTGTTCCATACAATAGCCTCAAACATGATAGTGTTAACAGCTAACATGTACTCGGTGCTCACCAGGTGCCTGAGTCTAAGTACTTAACATTTACTCCTCATAAGGACCCCAGGAATAGGTTCTATTACTGTCCCCATTTTCGGGGAGAACTTGAGGGTTACGGTGATAAGTAATGGCCCTGGGCCACCCACAGATCAGTGTCAGAGGTGACTCAGCCTTGATGCAACAGGGCTGCCTGGAGGACCAGAACCATCAGCCATTCTGAATAATGGCGTCCTTGATCACTATCAGCAGTAACACTTTCTTATCCTTTAATTATGCAGGTGCAGCCTGCAACACACAGCCACCAAGAACAGCTCACAGGTACGAGCGAGCGTTTTTCAACCTCTCTCATTCAGATCCAGGTTTAGGAGAAATTCTAAGTAGCAAATGGTGGTGATGGCCCCCGACGTCCATTTTCAGGACTTAATAAATCTGCGGTGAATGTGAGATGAACAGTAGCCCAGCTTATTCTCTCTTCTGTAGGAACAGAATCTGAGACCCGCCTCTGGAAGCTGTCACCGGCCTCTCAGAAAGACCCTTCCTCGACCTCTTCCATATTCCTCAAGATATCCCAAGGGAGAGAGATGTGCCAGAGGCTGAGAGAACAGACTGATCAGCTGAAGACTAAAGTAACACCTTTAAAGATTACGAAGTAGATGTGACCAAATTCAAATATAAGATACCATGCCACTCGTGAAATACTGCATTTTTTTCACTGCAGGTGCAAGAATTTTCCAGAAGCTTAGCACAGGACTCTCCTGGCCACGAGAAAGATGAGAGGCTGGTAATAAGTCCTTCCTGGGGAATCTGACCCGGGGAAAGTTCAAGGCCTCCCAGCGCCGGGCCTTCTCTGCAGGGGGCAGTGGAGGTGGAAGTTTTGTGGGGGGTGGGGGAGGTGGGGGGATAGGGGGGTTGGTTAAGGGCAGCAATCTTGTGTCCATAGCCAAACGGCCCCCAGAGGCCTGGCCTTGGTCAGACATGGATAACTCTCTAGAATGCTAAATCAAATTAAATTAAGGTCCTTAATAACATATTTCAAGCTTGTTATATGGAAACTTGTACAGAATGTTTACGTTTCATTTATGACATTTCCTCTGTTCCCTTCACCCATCTTCCCATCCCCCCACTCTCCTTCCCAAAGTGCTGAGGCTCAGGTCTCACGGAGTATTTGAGGTCTGGGGCTTCGTGTTACAGGAACTAAAAGAGCTTAGAATTTCTCTACGTGCTTAGGCCTCTCTCTTTCTCAGGGGATCTATGACGTAGGGATGCTTGCTGTTTTTCTTCACCAGTTGCCCCATCATAAATCTGGGACCAGGGCAGGTCCAAGAGACTAGCGCACCAGCTGCTCTAAAGGGTCACGAAGCCCATCCGGAGTTGACAGGCCCCAGGAGATAACGGTTATAAGAATTACCAGGATCTGGCAGCTCAATATAGAACACTTCAAACACTTAACATTGATCCTGAAGCTGTGCCTTCAGATAAAAATCTTGGGGTTCCACGTCCTTGCTGGTTGTAGTTAATCAAGTCCCTCATGTATGTTGTAACCACAACAGCCTTGCTCATCAGTGCCCAGGTCATGGGAAGTGGGGGTGGAGCCTGGCAGTGGGGCAGAAAGCTGAGATTGTGAGAGCCAGAAATGTGCAAAGTGGAAGATGTAATCTAGGCCACCGGGTCAACCGCAAGACATGGTTACAAGTCCTGAGGTAAAGGGCACAAGCAAAGCTCAGGCAGGCTGTGCTTCGGAGCCCAGACGGCACAAAAACCAGGAGGATCCAAACCTTAAGGGATGGTTCCTTATTCATTCATTCATAGTACTAATTAAATAACTCATTCATACAATCAACAAACACTTATTGGGTGCTTCCCACGTCTCAGACTCTCTACCAGGGATGTGGAGATGGTGAAACTATTTATTTTTCTAGCGGTGGAGAGTCTCCTAGGAACACAGGTTGGTAAACAGACAAGTGACTTGCAGCCTGAGAAAGGTTACAGGTGATGCTAAGGGCAGCTGAGAGGAGGCTCTGCCTTGTTAGTCAGAGCAAGGCACTTCAGAGGGCTTCCTAGGAGTGACTTCTGAGCCTGGTATTGTAGGAGGAATCTAGGTAAGCTTGGCAGGATAAGGAGCAAGGAGTGGTCCTGGAAAAGGAGCCAGCAGGTGCAGTGGCCCAGGGAAGAAAAGTGCTGAGCGGGTGAGGAACTGCATGGAGCCCAGGATACATGTGGTGAAGAGAGTGGACCAGACTATAAAGGCAGACAACAGCTACTTCATGAAAGCCCTTTAAACCATACTGAGGAGCTCAGATTTCACCCGGAGGTTGAGTGATGGGCAGCCCGGGGGGCTTAAAATCAAGTAAAAGTGAATACCAGGGGGGCAAGACTGCAGGGACAGAGACTGGCTAGGAAGCCATATCCAGGGAACACATGCCTGGGTTGCAGGCTTGATCCCCAGTACAGGGCGTGCAGGAGGCAGCCCATCAGTGATTCTTTCTCATCATTGATGTTCCTATCTCTCTCTCCTTCCTTCCTTCCTCTCTAAATTCAATAAAAATATATATTTTTAAAAAATCTAAGAGTCTAACGAAGTGGGGGCAGATTGAAAGGGGTGAGTAAAGGAAGGGAGGAGGCTTGGATGACTTTCAGATTTGTAGCTTGGACAATCAAGGTCAGGAATAAAAGTGGAGGATCCAGTTCAGAATGGGTGTGGGAGGCAGGCAGGAGGCCAGTTCCGTTTGTGACATTGTGAGCTCCCTGTAGGACTTCCAACTGGAGAGGTCCAGGAGGCAATTAGAACGATGGATATGCACCACATGAGGGCTTGTTTGGGCCAGAAATGTACATGTGAGTATAGTTGTGGCTTAAAGGTATGGGGTATAGGCAAAGACACAGAGTAAGCAGTGAATCCAAGGTTAGAATCATGGGAAACAGCAATCCAGGGCAGGTGAAAGAAGCGAGGTCCCCAAGGAGACCTATGAGGAGTGGCTCTAAAGTTCAAGGCAGACGTGGAAAGGGCAGAGCTGCAGAGGCCAAGAGAAAAGACGGAGTTAGGAAGCAGGGAGTGAGCCACACCCACACCCTCAAATGTTCAAGGAAGGAAGGAAGGAATGCACGAAGAGCCTTGGGTTTGGCAACCCGGAGGTCCTGAGGGACCTTGGCTGGCTCCATTTCAAAGCCAGATCCTCTAAGCTCAGTTCCCTTGTAAGATCTACGTGGCATCAGACGTACGCCCTAGAGCTCCGATTTCCTCCTCTATAAAACCGGGGTAATCCACTTTGCAACATGTACAATACGGATGAGCAGATTAAGTAAGAAAAGGAATGGAACGTGTTCTAGAAGCTAAAAATCATTCTGCAAACATGCAGGGTCACTGATGCCCCGGGGAGAGGCCCTGCGTGGGTTCTGGGAGAGACATCAGAACCACCGGGCTTTGCCGCGTGGTGCTGCGAGTGAGGGTGACTGTGGAGACGGCCCCTGTCTGAATTTTACTTGTCAGACTCCAGACTCCAGGGCAGAACAACGGCAAGGAGGACGGCCCCACTGGGCACTGCTGTAGGGCACACCTCATGGGTTTGGGGGAACAGCTCCCCACGCAGGGGTACATGTGAATGACGCCAGGGCCTTCTCTGCCACAGGAGCTGGAGAAGCTGCAGGCACACCTGGAACTGCTGAAGCAGGAGTTTGGGGCTGAGGAGCAGCTGGCTTTGGAGCAGCAAGTCCGCCAGCCTAAACCCCCAGCTGTCAGTGATTCTGACCCCAAAAGGTCAGGTTTAAACTGTGAGAGGTGGTGGTGGTGGGGGGGGGGTTCGAGAAGAGATCTCCTTCAGGTGGCGTAACCTGCCAATGAGCAGAACCACATGCTGTGGCTGCTGGTTCAGTGCCCGGGAGCCCCGAAAAGCCCCGAAAGGTCTAGGGCCAGTAAAGCCCCTGCCACCAACGAGTAGGTGTCACTGCATGCGCAGGACGAAGGGGAATTCCTGCTACGTGAAAGGTCCGTGCTAGGGGATGACCACATGGCGTGTCCAGAATGTGTCACCATCTTGCATTTCATGTGACGTCGTTATAGTCGGTGCCGAGACCCAGAAGGGCACAAGAGCACCGTGGAAGGGCTCCCAGTCTAACCCAGAGGTCCTCCACCTCTCCGTGCTCCTCCGTCCTCTCCCTCACCACCACCACCCCCTCCCCCGCCCTTATTTCTCCCTCCTGGTTCTTCTCTTCTGTCTCTCTTCCTCCCGCTCCCACCCCTGCCCCACTCCCTCTTCCTCCTTTTCTTTCTCATCCGCAGACCATTGCAAAGGGGCAGTGGGCAGGAGAGGATCGTTGTCAGGTTGGTTAATGTTGGGGTAAGGGACCCACAAATCCTGATAGAGGGGAAATGTTAAAACTTAAGTGATTCCTGAGCAAATCCACATCAGAACCTTGGGTGCGTACTTACACTGAAGTTTCCGACTGGCCATTTCTATGGCACCACAATCCTCGTTCCAATCCAAATAGCTTTAAGATGTGTTCCAGGAATCAAGGCCGGGCCTGTTTCCACGTAATTTCCTGCTATGAATTATAATAAAAGAATCCATTCACTGGGCTTAATATTCGTCAGGTCAGCTCTTTCTATTCATAGCATTTTAACACAAATCGTTCCTGGTGTCAAAATAGTTTAATGGTTTGTATTTTCGCACTTGCATCCTGAGGCTTTTTCCCCAGAGGACAACTTTACTTTTCCAAAATGAATGAAACCTCTGTCTACCGTTATTTCAATACCAACTAATTAGACTGCAAGGATGGGGTTTTACTATTGATTTTCCCCCAAAAGCCTTTTTTTTTCCCCTTCAAAATAAACAAACAAAAAGATCTCCATATGCCTTCTCTAATTATTTAAGAGTGAAAAGAGTAAGGATATTTATTTTCCAAGGAATCCCACTTGTTGGCAGGGGTTTAAAGACAGGCCTCTGTGCACACGAAGACCAGAGGTATGCAATCCAGGCCTTATTTATATCCCAGTTCCACCCACACTGCCTGGCCCTCGGCATAAGCCAACAGAGTTCCAACCGCAACTATATCCCGCACACAGGAGCAGCTCAGTAAACGAAGCTGCTCGGTGCCAGGCTGGTCCTGCTCTCACACGGGCGTAACCTGCCAATGAGCAGAACCCCATGCAACCCTGGAGGGGCTGGTATGCCAAGAACCTTCTAAGCCCCGAGACCAAAGGCCATTGCAGATAGCTTTTTCTGCAGGGGAAAGAATTCTGCAGATTCACTGGCTAATTGCTTGTTGAAGTTAACGGTTGCACTCTTACGATAACCTTATTATTATTGCCTTGAAAAGGTAAGATGCAAAAATAACTGTGGATTTCATGCATCTGGTTTGTTAGAATGTTGTCTGAATTTTTCACACACACACACACACACACACACACAACAACAACAACAACAACAACAAAAACACAAAAAAAAACAAGGGAATTAAAAAACCTGATGAACAATAGTAACTGTTGAATATAATAGAATCAGAGGTATGGAAGGGGAGTAGACTGATGATTCTCAGGGAAAAGAGTGGGGGGTGCCGGAAGAGACTGAACATAAATTGTGCACCTATGGATGAGGACAATGGGGGGTGGGGAAAGGGCAGAGGGTGGGGTGGAAACCTGGTGGAGGGGGGAAAAATGAGGAACTTTTGTAATAACAGGAACAATAAGGGTTTATTAAAAAAAAAAAAGAAAGAAAACGCCCCCCAAAAACACACACACAAAAAAACCACACCTTTATTACCAGCGCACCAGATGTCCTTAATAAAATTTCCATTAGAATTTTGTTCAGGATTGTGTTGAATTTACAGATTAGTTTGGGAGGAGTTAAAACCTTTGCAATGAGTATTTGGGTCCAGGAGCTTGTTTTCTTCATGTAGACTTGACACATTTATTTTGTTGTTGTTGTTAAAATTGAGACATTAGAAGCACCGAAAGATTAAGTGATTTGCCTGAGGACGCACAGCCAATGGATAGCAAAATAGGGATCAGAGCCCAGGCCTTTCGAGTGAAACGGAAACAGGATGCCCGTCAGGGCGGTTGTCCATTATGGGTCCTTTCCGAGGACAGACCACATACTAACACAGATCAATGCCATGTTCAAGACCTGCTGTTGCTAGTTAGAATGTTGACTGCATACCCTATGCGATGTCTTCTGTTTATTTAGAAAAGCGGAAGGTGAAGTCTCCAGGTTGGAGACTCTACTTGGAGACGTTGAAGGGAAGGCAGACGAAGGCAAACACACCTCAGCTGGCTCTCTTCCCGAGAGTTCGCCAACCCTCCGGGGTGACCTGCCCTCCGCCTCCTCTCCACCCTCAGATGAGGTAATGCATAGCCTACCGCCCAATTCCATGCCAGGAAACACGGTTCCTGTGCACTTATAGAACTCCCATTCATGGATTTACACAATTCTTCTTCTTATTTCATGAAAATTTAACTTCCCGAAGTGCCAGGAATCACATTATTTTCAATGGATCCAGCTTGCAAAAACTAGAAGCTATTTCACGTGTTCGTTTTTAAAATGTCTTATTGGTATAGGCTGCAGCAATGCAGTTGAAACCAATGAGCCGCTGAAGAGCTGTTTCTTCCGAACGGATAGTAACATTTCTGGGGATTGTGCTTGGAAGAAATAATTTTTCTTCTTAATGGTTTTGTACTCACTCTTCTAAATGACAATCACACTCTCAGTGCAAGAACTATTTCCATGAGTCCACATCTGCATTTTCTTTCTCTCAGCTAAATTCTTTTGGATTGTCTAAAGATGCAATATTAGGAATTCCAGTCCATCACCACTGTCTTTCTACACTTTTTGTTTTTTGTAGCCTCAACTATTAGACCATTTCAGACTAAATCCGGAGAAACTGAATTATCTGGATAATTGCGTTAATTTGATTCTTTGGTTTCAGTCGGTACGTGAAGTTACAGCCTGCAGCTGACATTCAAAAGTTGAATAGGTTTTTGTCAGAGTCAAGGACAACATGTTGAGCATTATACACAGTGGTGGGCAAAAGTAGTTGTAGTTTTGAGTACGTGAAACACAGATCTTTTTCTTTTATTATTATGTATTTTTTAATTGTTTTAATTTCCGAAGGAACTTTGTAAACTGTTTGCCCCACCCTCTATACATGTTAGCTTTTCCAACGAAGTATGTTCACATCCTCAAAACACCTAGCTTCCTGGCAAAATCTCATTCATTTTAAGGCCCAGCTTCAGAGTTAGGCCAGACAACTGGGAAAATATTAAGGGCAGACACAGTTCAGTATGGAGATTTTTAGCATACAAAGTGCTCTTGGAGCAGGACACAGCATACGGGGAAGGGGCAAGTCCCAGCCCTGTGTGTTGTTACTCTGGGTGACCTGGTCAGTTGTTTAAATTCTCTGAGCCTGAGGTTACTCGTCATTAAAATGGGAACAATGGCCCAGGATGGTGGAAGGAATCAGGAGGCCACGGGCAAAGCACCTGGCACAGGAGCAGTCAACAAATGCTTTAGTTTTAGTCATGAGAAAACACTGAACCCTTCCCCCAAATCAATGGGCAACAGATGTGAACTAAAAGGCCGCAAGTAGGAAATACAACCAATGAGCAAGCACCTGGGAAACGCTTATCTCTTTTAATAGCAGAGGAAATGCTCATGAACGCAAGGCGCCAACCCCTTATTAAATTAACAAAAGCATTTCCAACTGATCATTCCTGATGCAGAGGAAGGTGTGGCCGAGTGGCCCACATTGTTGGTGGCTGTGTAATTCCCACTGTTGTGGAAAGCCATTTGGCAGTTCCTGTCATCACACAAACATGTCCGTAGCCTTTGACCCAGACGTTTCCTAAGGAAGTCATTCACACGCGGAAGGAGCCTTCTGCACAATGCTGCTTGTGCCTGTGCTGTTTATCACCACGAGCAGAGGGCGCTTCTCCTCTGTTCACCTGGGGCGGGGCGGGGAGCGTCCAGCCCGCAGGCCGCAGGAGGCCCCGGAAACATTGGGTCTGGCCCTGCCAAGGCGTTAGGGTGAGCTAATTAAATGTTTGACCAGGTGTAGCAGGCTCATTTTTAAGCTCATAATTTTGTACGGCCCTCGGATGATGTTATAAATATCCAGAAAAAAAGGTTCCCCACCGCTGAAAAGGGTAAAACCACAATAAGAAACACAGGCTGGGTGGTGTCAGCCCTTTCAGGCCAGTTATGACGTGTTGTTGTTTTTTTGTTTGTTTGTTTGTTTGGGGGGGGGGGTTAATAGCCTAAACCTTGTTTTAATTCTTAGTGGATTGCATTTCTTTGGAAAAGCTTTCAGAGCTCTCCTAACTGATGGCCGGATGGATAGATTTAAAGTTAACTTCTAACATCTGTTCCTCCTCTGGTGGAGCTTGGGGTAATGTGAAACCAAAGGATAAGAAAAGGGGAGAATACCCTCTGTCTGTACAGGAGATTTAAACTCTGCTTGGGGAGGGAAGAAGACAGTATGTTGTGTTGAAGGTTCTTTCTCTGAGCCCTGGCCTCCAGCACAGACCACGGCGGGAGGAGTCAGAGCCGGGCAGTCTGCGGTGGAGAGCAGCGAGCCTGAGCTGCTTGCTGGGCGGAGCTGTGCATGAGGGTGAGCAGCCAGGGGGTGAGTTACTTCCTGGGTCACAGCCGCATCTGTGTGCTTTGTGGTGCAGGACCCCAGCCATGCCTCCGCCTCCGCCTCCTCCGGAAGGCAGCAACGTGCAGAGACAACCGGCTGGAGCTGTGCCCTCTGCCACCGGGTCCTCGAATGGTGAGGGCTTCTGGCTGCTAAGCCGCCGGGTGGGTGGGAGCCGGGCCTGGGATAATGCCTTCAGTGAGAGTGGGCGTCAACTAGCTGACCGGCTGCCAGAGCCACTGGCCCAGCTTCAGAACCGCAGACCTCGGGGCTGGGCACACAGCCCAGCCTCCCTCCCAGTTACAAGTCCCTGTGGCTGTGGTTCTCCTCTGGGGACAGCATCAAAGTCACCGGGCAGATGTTTAAATCATGCCCACGCCTCAGCCCCACCTACTGAGACATCCTTGCCAGGGTGGAGCCTGGGAGGAATTCTTGTTGACATTTCTTGGGTGATCCTGATGAGTCCCTGGGTGAGAATCTAGGCTACAGGGAGGGTGGCCTGTCCTGAGGGCTCCTCTGGACACTGCCAGGTGGGACAGTGTTACCCACCCCCGTCCACCAGCTCCCCCACCCCTCCCCTGGGGTGAGGGAAATTCCCTGTTGGGTCCCCCCTCTGCTCCCTGGTCCCACCAGAAATAAACCTTATCCCATATCTCAGGGCTTACTTCTCCCCATTACCCAGCATGAAATCTTCAAGTTAAAAATCGTGTGCACGGATATAAAACCCTACAGACCTCTGTAACGCTTTGGAAATGCTCCTTGGAGCAGCTGTTGGCCCATGGGAATTCATTTGAAGCTTCCATGGACCGGGCCAAAGCCTGGCTCATTTACCTGGGGAAGGTCGGGAGCAAGGAGGGCAGAGATGTTTGGCAGCCGCTGTTACATGCACGTCGTGGACTGATAGCAGCTGAGGAGGAGTCCAATGGCCTGGGGTTTCCTGAAAGAGAGCATTCCTCCACGGGAACCGCACTCAACACAAGTGTCCCATTGAGTTTGGGCCCTGCCTCCTGCCAGAGAAACACAGGGCGTTTGTGCTGACATTTACTGGTGTCACCTGGTATGGCTCAGGACTTTAAACCACCCTGTCTGTCCTCAGCTCTGACTCTAACCACAAGGGGCACTGCTGTGCTTCCTCCCGAGTCATCCCAGCCACTGTTTTCTATTTATTGAATTAAACCTAGATTCTGAATTTTTTTTTTTTTTAGGTTTTATTAAGTATAAAAAATTGTTATGCTTAAAGAACATTTTCATCAAGCATTCAAGGTACTAAATGTTTCTCTTCCAAATTCCTAGCGTAGACCTGGAAGGACCAGTGTTCTAGACTAAATAGACGTTTCTATGGTAGACAAGATGGAGAGAAAAGCACAACCAAGTATAAAAATCAGTCCTAAGAGTGAACCTACTGCTGGGGAGCGAGACAGACACGATTTACAAGCTGCAACCTTGGCCAGTGCCATATAGTCCCGGAGGAATGAACTGAGCACAGGGCTCGCAGGTGGTGTGGGTTCTTTGCAAAGCTCGCTGATGGACAGGACGCTTGCAGGGTATGTGCAGGGTGGTGTGTATGCACCGGGCAGATGGCATAGATGCTGCATGCAAATGCTTATCCCTTTGTGCTGTTTCTGTGGCGGGACTGGATGTAAGCCACTAAAACTATCTTCTCAGACCGAGCTGCTCTGAGCTGTTACATTTGGCAGGAAGATTTCAGCGCACAGAGACGCTTAAGAGGCAGAAAAAGAAAGTCGCGTTGGACTGAACTCACTTGAGTGAGATCCAAGTTTCCCACTTCGGAGAGCAGATGTTCAAAGGCCCCAGAGGAGGGAGTGGGGAGGGAAAATGGGGTGTGAGGAAGTGTGACTCAGGAGGACAGCGTGTTTTTCCAAGAGCAGGGGAAAGCCTTGGCTTCCCAGCCCTAGCCCCACAGGCACAGCGAGACCCGCATGCAGCACGGGCCAAGCAGCACCCTCCCCTGGGAATCGCTCTCAGTCTTGCCTCACCCTCTTTGTCCAGGATCCCTGGGGCTTCCACACAAAGAATGAGCACCTTCCCCCGGGGCTACTCCTGTGCCCAGGGGCTAAGTGAGAGCTTTAAGCCCTGTTAGTGGGATTCCTTTGGAGGAGTTAGGCTTTCTGTGCCCGAGGGAGACTGAAGCAACAGGTCAGAGGAGCAGCTGGTAAATGACCATTGTAGGGCATCTTTCTGATGCCCCCTGGTGGCCTGTACAGATAAAATTAAGCTCAGATGTTCCCCAGCCTGAGTCTAGACCAACCCATAAACTTGGGACAAAATCCCCTTTATGGACTCTTGGGATACAGTCAGTTGCACTTATAGAGTCAAAGCCATGGGACCCATAGTGGCATACAAAACTGATTTTGACACATGAATATGAAAAAAACCCTCCAAATTATTAAATTCCAAACTTAACATTTCTATAGTATGTATGATGATTAGATATTAGCCTCTGGGGAACAAACAGATTCACTTTTTTTTTTTTTTTTTTTTTAGTATTTCCTTTTTTAAAGAAAAATACATTGTTGATTTCAGAGATGAAGGTAAAGGAAAAGAGACAAACATCAATATGAGAATCATGGATCGGCTGCCTCCTGCAGGTCCCCTACTGGGGGGTTGAGCCTGCAACCTGGGCATGTGCCCTTGACCGGGACTGAACCCAGACCCTTCAGTCTGTTGATTGACGCTCTATCCACTGAGCCAAACCGGCTAAGGCCAAACAGATTCACTTTCAATGTTTGGAAACTCTGCCCTTATCTGGCTAAACCGCACTTCCCCAGGGGAAGGTACCACTTCTCCTGGGGAAGCTCACAGGCAGGGGGACCCCTGGGAGAATGACATGCTCCTGCTGTCCCGGCCAGGCTGACATAAGAAACGCAACGTGTCACCGTTACCACTACGCTCACTATCTCTATTCAGGGTCTACTGATGGTTCATGAGGTCTATGCGCCTTTTTAGGAAGCAAAACCTGGAGAAGAAAGGCCACAGAGGGACCCGCTGTGGAGGGCTTCCCACTGCCCGCCAGGAAAAGGCACCACATCCAGACACACTTCTCAGTAAGTGGAGGGGTCTGGGGCTGTGGGTGCTCAGTCTGCAAGGTCCCTCTCTGTGGGGTCGGCTCATGGTGGGCGCCAGCTTGCCATTGGCCACTCCAAACAGCATTGCCTAGGCTGCAGCGTTGCACGGTTTTTTTGTTTTTGTTTTTTAATATAAAGAATTAAAAACTAAATGATTTAAAAGATGTAGTCAAGAAGGTGAACGCGCCAACACCTATTTCTGGCCGGCACCGCAGGACTGCATGGACTCGGTCCCTGGGTGGCCTCAGGGGTGTGTCATCCTGTCCAGCATGACCCACGTGTGTACCTGTAAGCTTCCGGCCGCGCGGGAGCTGCTGCCCACTTGTCCGAGCATGTGTCGGGGAAACACAGTCAGAGCTGGGAGGAGGCCTAGAGAGCACAGTGCATGGAATTCAATCGTTTTAGTCCTAGGAGCCTTCCCCAATGTGAATGGATGCAGAAATACATCCTCTGGCAGCTCTGCCCTGGGCGGGGAAGAGGCAGGGCCGGGCCTGGCTGTTCAGGCAGCTCTTGAGTGTGACAATCACCCCGAGCCTCATCTACCCCATTTACCCACGAGGAACCAGAGCCAGAGAGCAAACTGGAGCCTTTGCGCTCAGAGTGCTTACCTTCATACAGCCTGTTAGCCAAGAGCCATTCCCCAGCTCACTGTTCTGTCACATGTAGTTCTACTGGTATTTGTTCTCTGTAGATGATACATTTTGTGACAATAGATATAGGTGTCACTGATTGAACACTTACTATACCACATGCTATAACAGAGCTTTTCAAAGTGTGGTTGAAGGCCTCTGGGCGTCCCTGAGACCCTTAAGGGACCACGAGGTCCTCTCCTTTCTAACCACTCTGTACCTGGTATATTGGTGCCAGGCCGATATTGCCACTGAATGAATGGCAATGCAGCTATGAAACCTAGCTGTCTTCTATTAACCCAGATATTCAGTATACTTCCCAAGACATAACATATGCCTTTCTCCTAACTTTTATTTTCAAAAAGTTAGCTTTTGTTAAAAGGATGCTCTGTTAATAAGAAATGGATTATTGTCATTTTAAATGATACCATCAGTAAAATATTTTTTAGATACTTCAGTTTAAAAACAATTTTTTTTTAAGCCTCAGGACTATCCATTCAGTCTGGAAAGATCTGAGTGATTCAAGCAAAAATTATTTAGTTTATCTATAGATATTTCTCTACCCCCCCATCTGCAGCTGACTGACTGCTAAGGATAGCTCTTCTCCAGTGCAGGGGCACAGAAAATGGTGTATATTGTGACAGGTGGCAGGACAAACTACATCAACGGAAGTACTCTAGGGCCCTCAATTTATTTGTGCAGAAGGGCTATGAAAGCAAAAGTTTGAGAACTGTTGACATAGTATATATAATTGAACTGTACACCACCCATGTAAGGTAGAAATTACCTTTAGAGATAAGGAAATGGTGGCTCAGAAAAATTAAGTGGCTTGCCAGGGTCAAAGAGGTGGTGTACCATTATCTACTGCTGGGTAGATAGGAGGACCCTGAAACAGACACACGCTCCCCACCACGGGCCTCGCGTGGCACTGGCGCAGGCACAGCAGATTCAGGTTCCTACATGGGCTTATGAACTGACGTGGGGAAAACCATCTTTCCAACCGCCTGAGTGACAAAACATGAGCTCCTGGCCACTGCAGGGCTGAGAAGAGAACGTGGATCTACTGGGGCAAATCTGGAAATATGAAGCTAAATGCAAGATCACCTGATAACTCAGCGGGCCAAATTCTCACAGGCCCACCTGCTCCGCAGACTTTACTAAGCACTCACGAGTGCTAGGCAAATGGAGGCTCTTATCAGAACACCTGTCGGCTGTCGGGAAGGGACCCTGACTGTCACTCCTGGGCTGGCAACTCCCCTTGGTAATCGCGGGGAAGTTAAGTACCGGGGTGTCTAGTGCAGACCTGATCAGTTAGAGCTCTGCTCCCCACCCCACATTGTAGAGCTACAATGAGACTCTCACCTCCTTTGTGTAACTTGGGTTTCTTCAGGTCCCGATACAGGACACAGCGGCTCTCCAGCTCCCGGCGCTGGGCTGCAGAGCAACCCATGTGAGACCTGCGGCACTAGGACTCCCAGCTGCCCCAGAGGTGGCCGTAAGCAACCACTCACAGGTCAGGGCGACCAGGGAGCCTCCAAAGAGGTCAGAAGTGGGGGCAGCTGTTGTTCCCAGGCAGTGGGTCATATCTGTCATCTTTCCTTTTCAGAATTTCATTATAGATACAACACCCCGGGACAGAATTACTCAAATCATAGCGAAGGAAGAGCCTCTGTCCAGCTCCGTTTTTTAAATGAAAATGAAAATTCTCCACCTTGTAAGTACGCCTCCTCCGTGATCCCATCTTTGTGAACCCACACTGCTCCTTCCTCTCCTGTCTGCTACTCCAGAGGGGGAGTGATGCCTCGCTCCTAGAGACTGGTGGGTAAGACCGGAGGCCTGGAAGGAGAAAGAGGGGAAGGTGGAGGACGGAGGAGAAGGAAGAGGAGTGACTTCTGTTTAGTCTCTGTTTTCTAGAATTGTCCTAGTGGCTTAATTTCTGACTCTTAGAACCCTGGCTCCTGAAGTCAGGGGGTTAGGGTGGAGGACACTTCAGGAATCCAAGTGGAAGATATTACCTCTTGGAAGATATTACCCCTCCACCTTCAGATGAAGTCACTGAGCCCGGAAAAGTTAGCCACGTGCCCAGTCGCACAGCTAACTCAGGGAACCTAGACTCCAGGTCTCTTGTCTGCTAATAACTCCTTTTAAAAATGGAATTTCTTTCCTGAATTCTCTGACTTCAGAATACTTGATACAAAGGTCTTTGTCTCCTATGTTCCCCAATTTTCTTATTTATTAAATTTTTATCAAATGTTTCATTCACAATAGAGAAGTTCAGAAAGTGATACCCACATAGCCACGATTTGGGGATCATTTCTGACGCGCAGAATTTAATTAAAACCAACATTTTCCAGCTTATTCAAAACCAAACTGGATCTGTTCCAGGAGAGCAAATTCAAAATCCTCTCAAGATGAGCATGAGCCCACCCCAGGAAAGTAAGTATCCCTTTCTCATTAGCAATGACGACAAGAATGGCCACCCATTGGTTGGGTGCATACAATGTGCCTAATGCACCCAATTACCTCCCCAAGAGCAGCTAGATCCTAAGTGGTAGAGCCGGGATTTGAACTGAAGCCTGGCTAAGACGTCAGTCTCTCATTTGTTCACTCACCACATTATCTGAGTGTCCACCGCAGGCGCGTGCTAGCTGCTGACCAGTGACAAAGGGGACTCGGTCCCTGCCCTCATGCGGGGAAGAGGAGGCTGTGTGTGTGAGTGCCGAGAAGGGGGTCACTCCAAGTGCTAGTATCTGATATAGGGGTTCAGGGAAGCTCAATTCCAAAGATTTAATACGATTGACCTAGCCAGGGGAAAAAGGGGGGAGAGAGAACCTTCCAGTCTAAGTGAGCTTCCGATGTGGGAAGGCCCTGATGTGGGAACCGCCTTTTTCTGAAGCTCAGCTGTGGTCACCCACAAGACACTGACAGCTGCAATTGTGGAGGGTGCCGGCCTCCCCACCAGCACACAGGGCGCCCTGCACCCCAGAGCCGAGGGCGGCGCTTCACACGAGTATCCATGTGCTTTTGCCTTCCAGAAAAAACCTTAAGGCTCCCATGACCTCCACTTCAGACCTGGCTACCTCCTCACCCCACTTCCACTCTGGCAGGGTTTCTGGAAGCAAATCCTTAAGCGAAGAAACAAAATCTGAGGTGAGGACTCAGAAAAACATTCTAGAATCCTTGCAGCTTGTAAGTATGGCCTTGCTGACCACAAAATTGATGGCTTCTAAATTATTACAGTATGGAGCACCCAAAACTGCTCTGCTAAACACGGTGTGTGCTCAGCACGAACACAGAGACACAGGGCCTGAGCAGCCACGTGGTGTGTGCTACTCCTAAACCGGTTCCCAGGGAATCTGTGGGCAGTGCCTCAACTACAGGACCCCTGGGCTGCTCACAGGACTGTCCCACCGACACTGGGCTTACAGCTGCGAGCCACTATTTTTTTCCAATCAGAAGCTCGAATCCCAGGCCACTTCCCAAGGCCTCTGCACATGTGTGATCATGTTCCCAAGTCCCCTTCAGTGGCCCCCAGAACTTTCCTTTTCTCAGCTCTTTCTCGAGAGCAGGGAAAGGGCCCAGCAGGTTTCTGACCTCACCCTCTGATTCATGCTCATCAGTCACGTGTCCGTCCTTTTTCTGTCCCTTGCCCTAAAAAATACCTTCCATCTCCCAACTGGTTTCCGAGGAAACCAACTCTCAAAAACAGAAACAGACCTGGTGGAAAAAACAGAAACAGAGCGGTGGAAAGAAGAGAAACAGACGGGGTGGAAAAAAGAGCACTCCTAAGTCCACCTGGCAGCGTGTGCTGAAAAAATTCAAACAGGGACAGTGGCAAATGTGTGACTAACACGTGCGCGCTCGTCCCCCGCAGGGTTTAACCGCGTCTCTGGACCATGCCCTGAGAACAGCAACCATTTTGAAAGAAACGACTGATCAAATGATCAGAACTATTGCAGAAGATCTCACCAAACTACAGAGATGGAGGAATCGAGTGAAATACTAGTTTGATGCAAGGTGTCTGGGGATTTGAGAAAAAAATAAATGCAAAGAAAACTTAATCTTCCCCTCAAAGTATTTTACTTATTACACAATTTAGAAGGATAAATTTCTACAGAAAACACCAAAACCGTAAGAAATGGGGAACACAAAAGTACTTAAATGAGAAAAAAGGGACGTCAATCTCATACTCAAATCAACACGTATTTATGTTAAAATAAATCTGTGATTCCTAACACATAGTAAGAGAAATCAAAACAATAAAACATACTTTTAGCTATTAGTATGGGGGAAAAAAAAAAAAAAAGTTGGAAAACCCATGGCGGTGAGGCTGGGGGAGACAGGAAGTATAAATTGGTGCAAATTCTATCAAATTGGACATGTACTTAACCTCGAGCAGCAATCCCACCACTAGCTGTTTACTTCACAGGTGACTCACCCAACAGGCCATGGTGTGTGAGGGAGGATAGCCATGTGGCACGGATGGGAAGAGCCCCAACTGGAACTAATCTGAACACCCAGCGTGGCCATTCGTAAACAAAGATGTCTGTCATACAATTTACACTCTGCAGCCAGGGAAAAGAATGAGGTGGGTTAACCTTCAAGATAGCGTGCAGGGGAAGCAAGATGCCTAATGACGCACAGGTGTGATCTTTTGTGCATGGTTTTCAAAGGGCACACACACTACTGGAAAGCACACAGAAACACCGAGTGGGCCTCTAGGAAGTGGAACCGGGGGACTTCACATTTACTTTCTGTAGTTCTTACAAAATGCTGATAAATCATTTGGTTAAAGATCACTTGAAGTCAGAAATACACAAAAATGACAGTCCTAGCTCTAGGTTCATGAAATTTGAGGCAAAAGTGAAGACAATTCATTGTAGCGGTGTACTCATTGGCTCTTTCCCGGGGCCTCCATTCGCTCCAAAGTCAGGAAAAGGCTTCCCGCTCCGGGGCTGTGCTCAGGGGGAGAGCTGGATCATTCCCACGGAGAGGGTTCTGTGGTGACCAGCAGCTGCTGTTTGTCCAGCTGGCTGGAGAGCGGGTTATTTTTAACTTTGGGGCTTGGAAATTAGTTTGGGTGCCTTGGGAGAGAGAGAGGGCAGAGGCCGGACTCAAGACTCCTCTGACTTTGTGGCCAAGTTCACTTTAGGCTGCGGCACTGAGAGGAAGAGTGAGGGCTATTGGTCATATTTTAAGAGGAAAAAAAAATGGGGTTTAAACGATGTATGAGCTGAGGGGCTTCTAGCTTCATCACAGACCTGAACTCATCACAGCCTGAGAACTTGTCTGTGTGCCACGCATCGCCATCCTGTCCCCAAGTTCAAAATCACACAAAACTCTGGCTTAAAGTGTTCTTAGGCCACACATTGGTTCTTGACCTTTCTGGGGTTCAAACCTCTTTGGGATCTGATGAAACCTGTGGTGTTTCCCTCCCTATGCGCCACTCCCCCATGAAAAAGCGATACATGAACAGGCACCCGATTTTTACAAGTCCATGGAACTGTGGTTAGAAAGCAGCACCATCAATGACCTTCCTGACCCCTCGGATTACCCTTTAGAGGAGCTTGCTGCTGCAATCATTTTTCATTTAAAAACACAACCCACCTCAGCCGTATTTAGCCGTATTCTAGATGCCATTTCCCATCTCCTTGATGCCTGAGGGCCTTAGGAACAGTCAGTGCAACATGACTCATGTGAGGAACAGAGAGAAGTAGGGCAGCCTCCTTCGGGCTTCTGCGGAAGTGCTACAGGCTCTGATTTACAGAGATAATGTGAGATTTACTGATGCTGCAGCTTTGGCTGTGGCCTTCCTCACGCAAGCTCTTTGTGCCAATGCTGATAGCCCTCTCTTCTAATTCTGCTGCAGGAATAAACCAGAAAAACAAGCTTGTTAAGCGAGTGATTGTATCTCCAAATGCTGAGTCACAGGCTCGGGACTGCCGGGGGCAAGGGTGTTGTAAAGACACTTGGCACCCTCCACAGCGCAGCCCTCTGTGCTCGCTTCCTGCTTGAGGTGCCAGGACCAAGACAGCGGGTGAGGGGTCAGCTTGTAGAATCATCCCCTCTTTAGGAGAAGTTCTAGCCATCCACTTTAACTACAGTACACAAATGAAAACTCATCCTTTCACTATCATTCCTATTCAATCTTATTAAGAATTACTTAAAATAGACCTAATACATACTAAATATGAATATGTATGTATCTATGTTTAATACCCAAATGTTTGGTAATAAAACTTTGTTTTGGCAGGCATTTCTTGCTCCTTTGATTTTAAAAGAAATCGGCTTGGCCCTAGCAAGTTTGGCTCAGTGCATAGAACACCGGCCTGCAGACTGAAGGGTCCTGGGTTTGATTCCCGTCAAGGGTACATGCCCAGGTTGCGAGCTCGGTCCCCAGTGGGGGCATGTGGGAGGCAGCTGATTGATGCTTCTTTCTCATCATTGATGTCCCTCTCTCTCCCCCTCTCCCTCTGAAATCAATAAAAATATGTTTAAAATTTAAATCGGCCTGCATCCGGATGGGATTTGAGGGGTACCAGACACCCACACCACAGCCGAGTTACAGAGGCATCACATCCAACAACATAAACTGCCAGGACCTGGGCCCTTTGGGCTTGAATCCAAATATTTTTGTGTCATGAACTACTGATATTTTTCTTCCTTCTTATGAATGTGGCTGAGCAATGTGAATCCACTATACTTTGCAGACCAAGCACACTTCAACAGGAAACAAAACCATGCTTCAGAGATTGTGTGATATCCACACAAGGACAAAATTCCCTAGTGCCACGTTCCTCAGAACATATCCCTGCTGTCAAGGAGTGCATGGCAACAGAACTACCAACCTTACACATATATTACATTCCTTTTTAAAAAGTTAATGGGTTGCCAAAACCGGTTTGGCTCAGTGGAGAGAGCGTCAGCCTGTGAACTGAAAAGTCCCAGGTTTGATTCCGGTCAAGGACATGTACCTTGGTTGCAGGCGCATCCCCAGTTGGGGGAGTGCAGGAGGCAGCTGATCGATGTTTCTCTGTCGATGTTTCTGACTATCTCTCTCCCTTCCTCTCTGTAAAAAATCAATAAAATATATTAAAAAGAAAAAAAAAACACTACCAAACTGTCATCCTTCAGAGTATTCAAAAAAAAAAAAAAAAAAAGGTTAATGGGTTACCTTGGTGGGACGATTCTGGTGCATTTCCTCTCTTCTAATTCCTTGACTTGGAACTTTCAGACTTCCTCTACCTCTCCCGACCCAACACAGAGATAATTCTGTAACTACATATTTATTTTTTCTTAGAATATTCGTGAGTATTTTTGTTTTTCCAATTTAAACATATATGATTTCAAAGTTATATAAAACTGTGTTCTTTAGAAGTATCTAGCAAGACAGTACATACTGTGAAATCTAATTTTACAACTGAATTATTTTACACATATAGGAAATTATAAATTTCAGTTGAAAGAAAAATCTCATGTATACATGTATAAATCTATATCATACAAACACATTTACAGTTTTTAATTTTATAACCTTTTCAATTTAAAATCATCCTTTCCCCAAAAACTATACTTCAGTATAAAACAGATAAGTATCTAACAAGTCATTAGTATGTACATAGGTGTCTGTAAAAAATTACCGACAACTCATATTCTATTCCAAAGCTGAAAACATGTCCTTTTAAAAGCATTTTAATATTTCTTCTTATCAGCAACAAAATATCAACAATGTTTAAATTAAAAGGGTCAAATCCAATTATATGTAACCATAAGCAGTCCTTTAAAGAAATATATTTGAAAAGTCATTATTCCATAAAATATTTACATTGTTGAAACTGTATAAAAGCAACACTGTCCTGATCTAGTTTAGTTGGAAGAATGAATAAGAACCACCCCATCCCAAATACTATTCATCCTTAATAATGGAGACTTTATCCTTGGATTTATTCAGCATCTTTATGTCATCCAACAGCTTTCTGGGTGTTAAAATATGGGTAGAACCTGGTAGGAAAAAAGGTAAATTTTCAGAGGCCAGCAGTTAAATCGATTTTCTTTGGCTAACTATATTGTCCTGTCTTTCAAATATACAAAGTTAGTATAACCTGGAGCATTTTAACAAAATTCCTATAGGACACCTTCCTGAAATCTGTCTATACTGCAGTATTTCAATCCTTCCTCTACATTAAACATGCTCAGTAAACCTTCAGAAATACTGCCCCCTCCTGGTGCTTTGTCTACCTTGTACTATCTATCGATTAAACTGGGGAGCAAAACTGGAGGTTATTCTACCCTCGTGACAAGAACAGTCACTGTTCAATCAGAGAACCATTAGGCAGTGCTGAGGACTGAGGCTGGGGTCAGGAGAGTTTGTATATCAGTGGCTTTGACTAAAATTCTTAAAACTAAATTCCATATACAGCCTTTGACAATGTCAAGTCCACATTCACAAAACAACTAAAAATATTTCTGTAGAAGTGTCTCCAAAATTATTTAACGATGAGAGCAAGAAAAATAAAGAACATACGCTTTAAAGGATATATGTACTAATATTTAAAGAATGTAATAATTTGAAGCTCATTCCCTCAAAAAACGAATATCCTAAAATATAAAAACCCAGGTTCTGCTCGACTGACCAGAAGTCAGTGCTGGGTCACCACAGCACTGGCTGCCACTGTTGAGGATGCAGCGACCCAGCACTGACTGCCGAGAGGGCTGCGGGTCAGGCCCGGAGAGAGGCCGGGAGAGAGAAGCAGAGTCTGATCCGTAGCCTCCACGGCAGCTGTTGATAAGCCCTTGCCTCTCACTTTCTCTCCAGGCCTGGCCAGCAGCCGTGCCTCTTTCTCTCCGGGGGTCCGTGGGGTCTGCTGATCAGCCCTGCCTCTGTGATCAGGCCCGGAGATACTTACTGGCATAGAAACCAACCAATCAGAACCTAATCTGGGTGAACTGCAAAGGCAGAACCTAAGGTGGGAACTGAGCAGGGTTTTAAGGGCAACAGCTGTTTGGTGTAAGGTGTAAGAAAGCGGTTCAATTTTTTAAAGACTAGTTTGGCATTATAGTGCATATGGCTGACTATCAGTCCAGATATAGGGATTATGTATTTTTGTCTGCCAAGAGCATCTCCTCCTGCTGAAAAAGGCTCCTCCCCCATTTAAGCAATCCTATCCTATATAATATATTTATACTAATAAAAGGGTAATATGCTAATTAGACTGGGAGACCTTCCAGACAAAGCCATGGTGGTGGGGCCAAGGCAGAGACGGTTAAGGGCAATCAGGCCAGCAGGGGAAGGCAGTTGGGGGTGAGCAGGCTGGCAGGGGGGCGGGGGAGAGTTGGGGCAGCTGGGGTTGATCAGGCCAGCAGGCAAAGTGGTTAGGGGTGACCAGGCAGGCAGGCAGAGGCTGTTAGGGGTGACCAGGCAGGCAGGCAGATGAGCGGTTAGGAGCCAGTGGTCCCAGATTGCAAGTGGATGCAGGCTGGGCTGAGGGATCTCCCCCCCAATCCCCGTGCACCGGGCCACTAGTTTAAAAATAAAATTACCCAAAGGACAACCAGGAAAAATCTCTAGTACATCAGATGAAATACACTATGATTAAAACAAGTTGTCCAGCTTTCAACAATTTAGTTCTAAATGTAAAGTACAGGATAAACTTTTACATATATATTTTTACATTTAGAGTTTGTTTAATGTAATAGAAAAGAGGCAAACAAGTCTTACCAATAATAACTCCACAGGATTTGTGTGCCTGAGAAACTTCGTAAGCACAACGCATTTCAGAGTACGTAATTCCTCCAATAACAAAAACAATCAGTGTGGACCCATTTTTTCGGTCTTCCAAATAATTAGTTCTGGGTTTCTGGCGAGCACTAAAAAATAAAAAAATAAAAACAATACAAATGCTCCCAAAGTCTTACTGCTTACAGACTTTTCAAAAAGCCTAACTCAAGCAAATTCAGATTTGGCACCGGTGACATAATTTTAAGTTATGACTTAACTATGTATGAAAGAACTTGGCACCAAGAATTGGCAGCACAGTCCCACTTCAAGATTAATTTTGATCTGATAGTTCGGACAAATCACTAATAATCTAGCTCAGCATGTTTACCTATAAAATAGAGCTAAGTCCCTCTCTTATTTATTTCCCTTGAAGAAGTAATATACCTGAAGTCTCTGGCTTCTTGAAGTTAAAGAAATAGGGAAATAGTGGTAAAACAATAGGATTTTAAAGATATGGTGGGGTGGGGAGTTCGCAGGAGCTGATGTGGTATTGGGACATCCCTTGCTAAAAGTCAGTCGAGTATGATGGTGGGAGGTACTAAAGACACCTTACTCCCATATTCACAGCAGCATTATTCACAATAGCCAAGACAAAAAATAGCCTAAATGTCTGTTGACAAGCAAGTGGATAAAAACCATGTGGTGTGTATGCATAACGGGATATTACTCAGCCTTACAAAAAGAAGGAATTCTGCCATTTGCAACTATATCATATAAATGGACCTAGAGGGCATTAGTTTAAGTGAAATAAAGACAAATACTGTATTATCTCACTTGTATGTGGAATCTAAGATAGTCAAACTCACAGATGCAGAGAACAGAATGTTAGCTGCCAGGGGCTGAGGGGAATGGGAAATGAGGCAATGTTGGTCAAAGGGAACACAGTGCAAGATGACTAAGTTCTAGAGAGCTAATGTACAGCAGGGTAACCAGAGTAATCAAAGCTGCATTGTATACTTGGAATTTGCTAAGAGGATAGATCTTAAGTTAAATCTTCTTACCACACACACACAAAAATATATAAAAGAACAATACTTATGTAAAGTGATTGGTACATTTGTAGTGATCTTTTTACAATATATACATATCAAAACATCAAGTTGGTTTTAAATGCATCAAAGCATATACAAAGTTATTAAGTCAATTATATATACTTCAATAAAGCTGTAAAAAAAAGAATTAGACCAGAGTTTCAACTCTGATTCTGCTTTCTAATTCAGTTATAACTTTCAGTAAGTTACTTAACTGCTCTCTAAACTGTAAGGGTTGTTTTCAGTTTAAATGAAATAACATAACAATAGAATACACGAAGTATGGAATCTGGTACCACAAAAACACTCAATAAATAATAGCTATTATTTCTACCATTTTCTCCCCCCAGATTGCTTTAGATATGCATTGTCCAATACAGCAGCCACTTTGCCACATGAAGCTACGCAAATTTATTAAAACTAAATAAAATAGAAATTTCAGTTCCTTAGTCACACTAGTCACATACAGTGCTCAGCAGCTCCACGTGGCTGACAGTGCGGCTATAGGACACTTCCCTCACTGCAGAAAGTGCTCCTGGAGCACTGTTTAGATCATGGGGACCACCATTTTTTGTTCCTATGCCCCACTAGTAAAAAGTTTGAGCTTTTATTTGAAAAGTAAATAAATATCTCAAAATATTTTATGCATCTATTAAAATATATATTAGTTTATAAGTTATATGTGTGCTAGAATATATGAATAAAACTTAATTTCTCCCTTTTTAAGTTTGTAAAAGTAAGTACCCAACAGTCATCTTAGAATCCATGCTCTAGTTGACCTCTAAGCCCTGCAGTGGCGGAGCCCACAGTACACTTTTTCAAATGCTCTCAGTCTGTCCAGCCTCGGGATGATGGTTTCCATCTTCCATCTTAAGGAACAACGAGGTAGTAACAGGAAAAGGGAAAGAATTCGTGGCTAGTTTTGAAAGATGGAACAGAAACTAGATACACTCTTGGTTCCCACACAAAATCTTTATAGGTTTTACCTTATAGCTCCTGAGCCATTCCACACTGCTGGGCACTGGGAACAATATGGCCATTCCTTTGAATCTAATCTATTATCAATGGCATCCTATGGAGGAAAAGAGTTAACAAAATCAAGAAAATGTAAATTCTAAGATATTTTTATTTACTTGTCTGTTTTGCATAAAACTTAAAAATTTGTATTTATAATTAAGAATCTTAAGGATATATAAATAATAATAAAGTTAGACAAACAAAACAAAAAAACCATAGTAATAAATTATATCCAACTACAATAGATACTAAAGGAAAGTAGAAATTGCAGTTTAAGTCAAAAGAAAATTGAAATAAATGAACTATGTACTAGTAATTTTGACTGAATAATCAATGTCGTGATTTGACTGAGTTCATAAAACAATTTTTATTAATTTATTTTCCAGTTTCCTATAATTGAATATTTTCTAAGTGAACAATACTAAAGGCACAAACCATCTGTTGAATATAACAGCAAACCATAGTGAGGTTTACATTTTAATCACAAATACATTTCCAAGAATATTGGAGTCTAACACTTTCTAGCAGTGGTTATATATAAATATTTATTTTTTTTTGGATTTTCGTTCAAATAAATTATTTGTATATCTGCTACATAAAGTTATTTAAAATAAGAGTTTTTCCCATAAAGCATGTGTGTTGATTTTATTTATTTG